TCAATATGTTGAAGCAAATGAGAATGTAGGTGAAATGGTGCAGGTATTTTGTAACAGACTCACTAAGTTGGAGTCTCAAATCCGAAACCTCTTTTTAAAGACGGAATTTACGTTTACACCACTGAGTCACTTACTTAATTAAGTTAACACAGTTGTTAATTATGTATTCATGTTGAAGATAGATGGAAAACATCAGGTCAGATTTTGGCAGATTCATAAACCCGCTTTTACTTTTCGCTTTTTTCAACCATCTCACAAATTTGAACTTTTCAACTTTTCATTCCCCAGAAAACTTTCTGCCCAAGTTCCAGCTGCATCAGCGAATCGTACCAAATATATATTTCTTTTTCTCAATTACTCAAAAAATCCAAAAGCCGAAAAAGCAAAAAAGAGTATTATTTTGTTGTTGTTTGGTAAGGAGATAAAGGTCGGATCCCTGAATTGCCAAGCAAGTCACAGCCCCAATCACATTAGCATTCATTACTTCACCCATGACGTGTCCCTTCCTCCTGCTCCCCCACCCAACTTTTTTTAATATCCAATCCTCTACAGCCCACCCCAGCATCCACCTCTTCGTCTTTTCGATCTTCCTCCCCACGCAAGTCAACCCCATCCCCAACAAAATGAAAGGAAAAGGATCTGGGATCTGGGATCCAGGAAGGTGGTGATCGTTTATCGTAAATCATGCGGTTCGAAATTATTTTAAATTTAAAATTAAATATAAATAGTATCTAACAAAAATATCCAGCAAAAATCCTTTGTCAAAAAAAATAACGCTACGATAATCTCAAATACCTTACAAATTAACGTTAATTTCTCCGTTAATATTTTTAAAATACTGTAACGATCAAATAGAGAAAATAAATACTAGTTATTTTACTTGAAACTTACAACAGTACTTACTATCCTTTTCCCCAGATTCCACCAAATTCACAAATGGCTGCCTCCAACATCATCCGCGTGGTATGAACACGTGTCCCGTGTGAATCCGAACCCTCCCAGCGACCTATAAACAATAAACCTACCCATATTCGGTGGGTCCACCCACCAATACTGCCCCGGCTCTTATATAAAAGCCACCCCACCTCATTTCCCTTCCACCATTAATTAACCAAATCTTAAATACTTTATTAATTACACCCACTGCCCCTCTCTCTCTCAACCTCAAAAACCCCAACCCCAACTTCTCGATCCAACAAAACTGAAAATGCAAGCGGTTTCCGTGTTTCCCGTGTCGCCGAGCTTCGAATCCCACGCTTCCATGAACGATTTCGAAGTCGAGTACGCGCAGCTCTCTGCGAATTTCAGCTCCAAGCTTCAAATCGCCGGTTCCGGCGGTGATTACGAATTCGCGGACGCTGAGAAGCCAGGAATGGAAGATAAAGAAGCTCAAATCGTGGACGGCGGCGGCGAATGCGAGAGCGAAAACGACGACGATTTCTCTTTCGCCCCCATGAACGCCGACGGGTCGCCGATTTCCGCGGAGGATATATTCCAGAACGGCCACTTCCGGCCGGTATATCCGATTTTCAACCGAGATCTCCTCTTCGCCGACGCTGACGACGGCGATGCTTCAAGAGCCGGAGCAGCTTCGTCCTCGACTCTGCGGTCGCCATTGATGAAGCTCTTCTTCGAGGAACGGGACACGCCGTCGTCGTCGGCGTCCGAGTCGGACGAGCTAGAAGCAGTCCCGGAAGGAACGTACTGTGAGTGGTCCGGGAAGCCGTTGGAGGCGGCGGTGGAGCTCCGGAACAAGAGCAATTCCACGGGGTCGTCGAAGCTGTGGAGAGTCAGGGACTTGAAGCTCCGGAGCAACAGCGACGGAAAGGACGCATTTGTTTTCCTTAAACCTAAGTCCGCGGCGAGCCCGAAGCCGAGCCATGAATCGGCGGCGGATGAGATGAACAGCGGTAAGATTCAAAAGACGGTGGAGAAGTTAAAGGGAAAGGCTAAGAAAGTCGAAACGGTGTCGTCTGCGCACGAGAAGCATTACGTGAAGAACAGAGAGAAGAAGGAGGGGGACAAACGGCGGTCGTACTTGCCGTATCGGCCGGTGGTTGGGTTCTTCACAAATGTGAACGGATTGAGCAAAAACGTCCATCCGTTTTAAGGGGCTCAGCGGTCATTTAATTAATTAATTATTTATTTTTGTTTACTTTTTTTAGGGTTTTTTTAATTGTTTAATTAATTTATGTAAATTATCGGCGACGGAGAGAATGGTCTTTGTATTAGGAAAAATGGACTATTCCATTTCAGGCTTGTTGATATTTTAAGGAAACCACAATTATATATAAGTATTTAAATGAGAATATTTTTCCCCCAAATGTACAAGAATAATAATGAAATCATTGACTTATTCTTATTTTTATTTTGTTTAAATGTTTAAGAATGAAAGAAAAATTCTAAATAGGTTCATCGTTTGATTTTGTTCCGTATATAAAGAAAAGTAACAACGCGTACTTAACTTAATCATTTTCTTTTGATTTCCACCATAACTTTTTATTTGGTTTTGAACTTTTCTTAACTTTTTAAAACGTGTCAATTTGTCTCAAATCGAAACAAAGCAAAAAGTACAGGAACTTAGCTAGAAATTTGCGTGACTTGGTAAATGATGTGATCCACGAAGGCGAAGCCTTTGATGTAAGCCCTTACATAGAATTTGAGTAAAACCAAAGATTAAGACCATAAATTCTAATATTTAAACATTGACCAAAAGAAAATAATAATAATAACAATAATAATAATCAAACATGATTAGTTGGTAAGGAGTTAAATAAATCAAACAATATTTTATTTAATTAAAAGTAAACAGAGAGGATAAGAAAAAATAAGACCAGAAGTGGTTTAAACTCAAAAAAACAATGTATTTGCACTATCATCGTGACGTTCTAATCTAACAATGTGTTGTCGCTGCTCAACTTAGTTAGGCTTTTCTCCTATAAGACTGGAGACACACCCCTTGTGTGTGGATGGCTCTATACTAATGCAGCGTGGACCACCACCGACTATCGCAGCCGGCATCATGATTGTATTTGAACCCAGCATAGCATCCAACCCGGCAGGGTTACTTAAAACTTCAAAATGCTATTTATTGAGCATTAAAAGTGATATGATAGATTCTTGAATCTCTCACGTTGTATACAGTCGTATGTCTAACAAGCAATAACTTGATAAACTACTGCATTTGAAAGCTTCATTTTCTTTGATTAGGAACGTATACGATACAAGATTCATTATTATGTGATGAGAGAGATTGATTACGAAGCTAACAAGGATTACAATTGTAAGTCCTTGAAGAACAAGTTTTGGAGTCTACCAGAATTTTAGAGAAAAATCTCAAAGGTTTTGTTTGATTATTGATTGAAACTTGAGTTCACATTGGGAGCCAATGCTTATACAGAGATAAACTTAGCCTTGAAAGACTAAAGAGTCCAATAATAGGACATGAAATGAAAGTCCGATTTTTATTACAAAATTCAAAATGCATTTTTGGGAGCTAAACGGCCTCGAATGGCTGAAATTACTTATACATCACAATGTAGTGGTGTGTTTTAACCGGAGCGTCGTTCTCTTTCCGGAAAGGTGTCGTGCAGCGCAGTTGCGTATCCAACTGGCATACGTAATTAGTTCCGCAATAGAATTCTTATTTCGCTACCAACGCGACGGCTCGGCGTAGTGGTCAAATTTTCAAGGGGAAACTGGTGAACAGAGAAGATACGCTCCCAAATTACTGCATTCTCCCCTTCATTCCCTTTTGCACCAACTGACAGAAATTGTTATGTCAACGTCAAAACATCAGAGTGGCATGACCGTGCATAGCAAAGACTAATGGCCACAACCAAGGCTGGTACCATTCTTGTCGAAGATCGAAGATGCTACAAGAACAAAGCCAAGGACAAGACCAATCATCCAAGGCTTGTGAGCCGAAATATAGATGGAAGGAGATTGAGCATTTAAGACTTTTGAATCTAACACTACGACGATGATTATTGCCAAATTTTGTTTAAAGCATAACGACTGAACTTTGTATTTAGTGTTGCTGCATACCTTGATGCATCAACAATGGCAAAAGCCTCAGGTATCATAACCTGAAGATAAAAGTTGGAAAAAGAAAAGTCATAGGACTTCGCATACAGCATACTGGGGAAGCAGATAAAAATGTTGCCCATAGTTCCTAATCGAAGCAGACAAGACCACACCGAAGAAGGCAAGGCAACTGAGTATTTCGGTACAAGCCAACATGGGAAATGGTATGAACTTCATAATGTTACTGCATCTAATTGTTAAGTTCTTCTAACCTATGTATGCTTAACTTTGAAATCCAATTAAAATTCTGAGACTATTAAATTTTGCAGCTAAAGAGCGGAGGCTGTGCCCGCGCCTGACATGAATAATGAGTGTGCCAATCCACTGATGATATGAAACAACTTTGAGAAAGATGTGTCTGAAAACAAATGGTTAACATAGTGAACAAGAATCTGTCAAGTGTAGAGTGATACAGGAGGAAGCAAGCAGCAGAAGAATAGATAATTATGACCTGCATGGATCCATCCAACCGGAAAAAGTGACTATTCGTTTTGTATGGCAAAAGTTTCATGATCGTTTATAACATTTTGAATGTGTACATATGGACTAAAGGACTAGAGTAATCACACCCGTACTGATTTCGAGATTGCAAATGGTGAGAAACTGAGAGAGATTGGGTTTCACTAAACAAGATTCGGAGACGGAAGAAACTGTCTGGAAATCTGAAGATGGTTTCTTATGCAATAAGAAAAATGCTTTTAGAACCAATGCAGAGTGTGAATCTTACAAGAAAGGCGCCAAGAATCCTGCAGGTTTCTAAACCCTTCTCTGTGTTGTCTTTAGCATGATCAAGGAAATATTCCATGAAACAAGCTGACTGAAAAAATAAGTCTAACAATTAATTATCAAATATCAATGCTGCAGAGAAAATAAGTCCCGAGTTTGCAAGAAACACGTAAAACTGCAAAACGAAAAGCAAGCATTTGCAGCACCCCAGATGATGCTGATTTATTAGAAGACTGATTGACCATGTTCTGTATTTGCGTCTGTAATTTGTGACAGATTAGAACTTTGAGGCACATTTTCTATGCAAGAGATTACAGGAGAAGGAGAGCACTGAGTAAAAGAATGAACCGTGATATTCTGATATTCACTAGTTGTCTTGAAAAAGTTTGGACCAGGAAATTACATGCGAAGCAACTACTGCCAGATTCCACTGAACACAAAGATGGCAACCTAGGATTTCTCCCATCGATGCCCCTGGAGCTGTACACAAAAATCGAAGTTGATATGATAATCCTAAACAAACAAAATATCCGTAAAGATGTAAACTTTTGCCAAATCGAAGTTGATATATTTCTGCCATAGCTTTCTAACCTAAGTGAGAAACTGCAGTCACTATGATTGAAACCAATTTGAAGCTATAAAAATTTGAGGAAGTAAGACGATTTCCCTAAAAAAACACGAAATCATTATAACAAATGATTCTCAGCAGTCCAAATAAATTTTCAGATGTGTGATAATAAAAGTTTAGATCCTAACACAATTTGAAAACTGTTCCTCGTGATGCAACCATCATTCCGGGCACCTCAGGTCTACGATATCACCCAGTTCAAGGTACATACAGTATAAAAAGAGAGGAATCTCAATTCCGTTTGTCTTCTGACCAATAATTTCTTTGTTTCCTTGAGTAATTACTAATTGACTCGAATGCCGAGTTATAAATTCACACTTAACCTCAGTCATCCTTCTGTGAATCCAAATTACCACATTTATAAGACACCTTTTTTTTTCCAATTACAAGTAAGTAAAGAGAAAATTCCAAGTCACCAAATAGTTTAATGCTTCCACAGAAAAATATTACCACTTGATATGAACAATCTTCACCACAGGACATGGTAAGTATCCTACTCATCCATTAACTTTTACTGACTAGAATGCAGTACAGAACAATGCCATCATACCACTCTAACTCGAAATTTCGAACAATACCAGAGGCACCAAAGCAGCAAAAAGCCAAGGCATTCGGAATGGAATCGGTAACCTTCGTGAAAAATGGCGTCTATATCACCATTAAATCCAGAAATTATTGATTGCCCACAAATTGTGAAGGAAAAAGAAACAAAAAGGACTCAGCTTTGTAAGCGATTTTTCATACCTGTCAAGTATATAGCAAAGAGACTAACTTATGCAAGTTTTCAGCTTCGCATCCCTTCACAGTTCAACAGCCCAATGCTTTTCATATGTCAAGCTTTCGGCTGAATTGGGTCCTCTTTGTAAATAGATGAACACACCACACGATCACCCACCCTTCTCCCAAAGTGGAGCTGATACACCACAGCACCGCACGCAAGGTCATCCCGCATCTTTTTTTCTGTACGGCTCCAAAAGTTTCCCTCCCTTTTGCTAATCGACTTGCCGTTCGGATTACAGAGGAACTTTATTGTACACCGTCTTGAGCGTTGTTAACATTCCACATGCTTTAATGTGGATGGACGACAACAATTCTCACTTCGAATAATTTTCAATATAATATAACTAACTAGTATTACAATCTATTAATATTTTCAAATTCGACTCACGTAAATGATGATTGAAAACTTGTTATAGTTGTATTGAGTTTGATACCAAGTTAGTAGGTGACGCATTTCACATGCCTCATACGACTAGATTATGATTTTCGCCTTCCCCTAAATGCAAAATATCTGTTATATTTATGTGCAACAACTACTCTACATGAAGGTATTGTAGATAAACCAAAACAATTACTCGACAAGCGGTAACGGTCCGCAAATTGTACCCTCACATTGCGGTTGTTTTGGTGAATTGGGATGAGGAGATGGGAAACATCTCTTTCAATACCAGGAGAGGACAGGTAGATAAGGGTGATGGAGTAACATACCTAATATGAGATCCTCATTCCACAGAGATGGGAGGCTACTAGCCTTCCTTTATCCGTTGGGTATTTTGGGAATAAAAATATGGTGCGCACAATATGCATATATACAAGTTAGAGGAATGTTTTTTTGTCTCCAAAACAAGTACAGGAATAGCAAATTGTTCGACGGCAATGGCCGCTTGACTTTTGTTCAGTGGCGGCTGACGGCTTCCCCACTTCTCTCTCTTCTCCTCTTTATGTGCCGTGCGGCCCCCATCTGGTAATTCTGTCAACTGCAGAAGAAGACCGAGGATTCCAATCTGTTCTAGGCTTCTAGCTTACTAGGTAACCTCTCTTTAGCTTTTTCCAATGATCAATGGTACTATGGTAGGCGCAATTGCCGCATTGTGTGAGTAACTGTGAACCGTTGATATGCGTGAGCATCAACAGGGCACAAGTCACCAAACGCATCACTATGCCTTTATTCTAGCAATTTGTGAGCGTAATTTTCGTAAGGCTGCTTGACTAGGTTTAGAAGGAAGGGAAAAGGTAATGGCTGGAACGCTTAGAAAATGCTTGTTATGTTGCACATCAACGAAGGTCACGGTACGATCTCTGACTTGAAAACTTAATTTCATTCGTTGATTGAAGAAGACTAAATGAATTCAAAAGTCTTATACTCCGAAGAACTATAAAATTTATGAATTCAATAGCGGTCTGGTTATTATTTGTAATATTAATGACAGGCACCACTTAGTACTACGGTTTAGTGATATTCTTTAGAGTTAACACACTTCATCATCACTTATTCTTCTTCACTTGTAAGTGAGAGGTTTTAAGTTCGAATCTAAGTGTGGGCATATAAAACGTGGAATTGCAAAACTGAATCAAATCACAATAAAATAAAACGTAAAAAAACTGCGTTGACCAAAAAAAGTCAACAAAAGGTTCAAGAACGGGACCAAACTATTCATATCGGTTTCGGTTCCGGTTCTTATGTTAGCATAACTGCTTAGAACTGAATCGAACCGTGAATATAAATAATTAACTGGGTTTTGAATTTTTTTGAATTGTAACCATTTGATCATGTTTCTTAATACATGATATTATATCCACATTTCTTTAATGTAAATAATATCGTTTGTTTAAAAAAATTAAAAATAACAACCAACAATTTCAAAGCTTACTGACTTTGAATACCTTAGCAATGATAATTAAATGGTATTGCCCTTCAACTATTTCAATAGCTGTCCATATCGCTTATGTTAAAAAAACCTAGTCCTTGTGTCAAGTCATGTTCCCTTAACTATAATCTTTCTTCAATAATTTCGACTATATACTCAATAGTATGAAAAATAAAAGATTATGGTTAAATTAAATAAATAATAATTTTTTTTACATGTCAATCTAATGGATATAAAATAGGACACTCCAGTAATCCAAACTATTAAAGACTTACTCCCTAAAGTAAGCTACAACAAAAAGCTCAAAAATGGTTGCAACTCAATGACTTGAATCCGCTATTTTTTCAACCGAACGAGCATGTCAGTCATGAGTGATCAAGTCTAGAAAATTGCACCTTGCGGCCATCAATCATGAGCTTTTTATGTCAAAAACTTGATAAAACCAAACAATTAGTAAACTTGAACAATTACTAGAGTAAGTTGATTAACTCACGATTTAAAATTACAAAGACTAAAATCATAATTTGACATACTGAATATTAATTTCTTAATATTAATGCGACACTAGACGGAAATTTTTAATACAACATGAATAACGCACCACTAGATATCAATATTCAACGAGACATACACTACCATGCATAGTAACTGTAAACTGTAAAGTTTTGCGCTGAGCAAGTACCAAAACTGATCTAATTAAAGACAAAAATATAAAATTATATTAAATTATAACGAGACATTGGCGACATCATCTTTTTACATCGAGTACAAGGTCGACGCATCTCTCAACGATCTGTATGAAGACCGAAGCTTCCTTTGGAGTTCACTAGGCTACTGCTAATTATATATTATTAATTCACGAAATCCCATAATTTCATAGATTAGTTTAGCTTTTGCAATTTGCTTGCATGAAATCGAATCCGAATTCTTGCCTGATCCTCTTTATGAGTATTCTGGGAATCTGTTAATTCTGTCCGTTCATCGTATATCATATAGTCAGAAATTATTTTAAATATTTTTATTTAAAATTAAACACAAAGTATTTGATAAAAACTGATTGTACGATGTACAATGTACAAATACGATTCACGGATCCTCACCAAAAGAATCTGGAGAGGATCTTGTTGGCATGAAATCATGCATCTTTACTAACACTCATTGTCAACCAAAACCCTATAAAATTATCAGTTTAGCCCTTTAATTAAAACAGAACTTGAATACAAATATGGGGCATAAATGTAATTTCACACAATCAAATTTTGCTATTTTTTTTCAAAGCCTCACCTACATGAAATCCTAACATATCTCTAAATTAAAAAAATAAATAAATAAATAAACTTCTCACTCCCATATTCTCTATCACTCTCTTCCTCTCTCATTATATTTCAAAAACAAAATAAAAATTTGTGTGCCCATATGATAGTATATATTATACTAATAGTCTGACATTGCTTAGGGTTCCTTGTTTCTGGCTCGGTTATATCCAACACCGGGGATGGACAAGCTATCCCCATTCATCCTTATCCAATCAATATATATTAGTAAGCTTTTGTTTGGTGCTAAGCTTTACTGTAACATACCACATTGTCCAGGGGAGTGATCCTTATATGTATATTCTCATCCCTACCTAGCACGAGGCCTTTTGGGAGCTCACTGGCTTCGGGTTCCGTAAAAACTCCGAAGTTAAGCGAGTAGCGCGCGAGAGCATTCCCAGGATGGGTGACCTATCGGGAAGTTCTCATGTGAGTTCCCAAAAACAAAATCGTGAGGGCGTGGTCGGGCCCCAAAGAGGACAATATCGTGCTACGGTGGTGGAGCGGGCCCGGGAAGTGGTCCATCCTGGGCGGGGATATGACAATTTGGTATCAGAGCCTAACCCTGGTCGCGTATGTGTTGACGAGGACGTTGTGCCCCTAAGGGGGGTGGATTGTGACATCCCACATCGCCTAGGGGAGTGATCCTTATATGTATATTCACATCCCTACCTAGCACGGGGCCTTTTGGGAGCTCATTGGCTTCAGGTTCCATGGGAACTTCGAAGTTAAGCGAGTGGCGCACGAGAGCACTCCTAGAATAGGTGACCCATTGAGGAGTTCTCGTGTGAGTTCCCAGAAACAAAACCGTGAGGGCGTGGTCGGGGCCCAAAGTGGACAATATCGTGCTACGGTGGTAGAGCGGGCCCGGGAAGTGGTTCCCCTGGGCCGGGATATGACAATTTGGTATTAGAGCCTAATTTGGCTGTATGTGTGCCGACGAAGATGTCGGGCCCCTAAGGGGGGTGGATTGTAACATCTCACATCGCCCAGGGGAGTGATCCTTATATGTATATTCTCATCCCTACCTAGCACGAGGCCTTTTGGGAGCTCACTGGCTTCGGGTTCCATGGGAACTTCGAAGTTAAGCGAGTAGTGAGCGAGAGCATTCCCAGGATAGGTGACCCATCGAGAAGTTCTCGTGTGAGTTCTCAAAAACAAAACCGTGAGGGTGTGGTTGGGGCCCAAAGTGGACAATATCGTGCTACGGTGGTGAGAGGGCCCGAGAAGTGATCTGTCCCGGGGCGGGATGTGACATTAACTTTAATCCTTGAAGAAGATTAAAATTCAATAAAAATCTGGTATTAGATTGGATATTGATTTCAGTCCTCTAATGTGTACTTAATTCAAATTTATATTGTATTTTTGTTTTTAATATTTAATAGATATCTTATTTAATGTCATTACATTAAAATTAAAATTATTTATTATTATACACATTTTAATTCATTGTATTTATTTTACTTCCTCTAATTAGTGTACCTAGACGTTCGTATCATAATATATTTTACTAAATTAGTGCACCAAAATGTCCGTACCTAAAAATATTGTAGTGAATTAGTAGCACATAAGAAAATATGCAAAAACATAAGTGTACCGAAAAATTCCGTACCTAAATATATAATACTAAACTAGTGTACCAAAATGTCGGTACCTAAATATATTATAAAAACTAATGTACCGAAATATTCGTACTTAAACATATTATACTAACCTAGTGCACTAAAATGTTTGTACTTAAATATATTGTAATGAATTAGTGGCACATAAGAAAATATGCAAAAAAATGTGTGCCGAATCTTTACGAAAATATATTTTTATATACGATACTTACCATAATGAGAATTAAAATTTATCATATTTTCATAAAATTTAATTTAGACATTTAATATGCTGGCATTAAATAGAGTTTAAGGACTAAAATCAATTTTTAATCTTATATAAGATATTTTTTTTAACTTTATCTTATTTAAGGATTAAAATTTAATTTTCTATATGTAAAACTCCTGAGTTAGATCGGCAAAGGAGGACTAGTTCTCTGATTCTCTTTCCTTGTTTCTCCTATTTTTAAGCACCTAATTTACGTACTTTAACCATTTCTTTTAACTAAACATGCTCATAATATAATTCTCTCGTATTGTCAATTTTTTTTTTGTTTTTTTTTGGTAAAAATAGTTATGATCCACTGCTTACGGACCGGCATACTCAAAAACATATTGATAGGCATATTAAAAACTTACTATAACAATATATCAAATATTATCGATTCCAATTAATATGCATCTCGTATCAACATCCTATTTGCATTGTCTCAATAGATGACATAAGAACGATATATTAAAACATCCGCCTGATGAAGTTCTTGTATATGAATATATATAGGGAATTGTTATTGGTATTCTAAAATTCTCTTTTTACACTCTAAATTTTCTATATTTAGAAAGAAAAATAAACTTTAATAGTAGAATGAAAATTTTAAAGTACTAATAACATTTCTCGATATATATATATATATATATTCTCCAAAGTCTTCGTCGAGTGTGATGGCTTTGGTCACGCAATTTATTTTCTCCATTTAATTAATTTCTTGGGGAATGAGAACTTGTGATGAAGCCTGAAGGTGGTTAGTGGACCATGTAGACCGCCTATATGTATATGTGTGTGTATATATATTTCACAAGTTTTCATTTTTCTAGAAATTAAGAAACTTTAACGAAAGACTCATAGTTACCTTTATATATGTGTGTGTGTGTATCACAAGTTCTCATTCTTCTAAAATTAAGAAACTTTAACAAAAGACTCATAATTATGTTCACTTTAATGAAAAATTATTTTTTTATATTAAAAAGTTAATCATGATACTATTCACTTTACCCTTTATTTTAGGGAAATATTATTAGCACTTCAAACATCTCATTACACTCTAAACTTTCTATATTTGGAAAGAAAAATACATTTGTGAGGAGTGTAGAATGAGATTTTTAGAATGCCAATAACACTTTCCTTATTTATCCTTATCGTTAAAACTCAAAATTTTCAAACAATTTTCATTAATTTTCCTTATAAATTATTAATTAAATGGAGAAAATAAATTGCGTGACCAAAGCCATCACACTCGACGAAGACTTTGGATAATATAAGAAGACCAAGTTGCAAATGCCCTTCTGCTTTTTGGAAAGGGTGCATGAGAAATGCGACCACTCTGCATAGATGGCGACCACTCCGAATCAAAACCGAAAATGTCTTTCTTCAGGAAGACGATGAAAGAAGAAGATAATATTATGACCCAAAAAAAAAAAAAAAAAAAAATATATATATATATATATATATATATAATCTATTTTTGTTGCGTATGTGACAATTTAATTTCAGATTTCAACCGTTCATGTGGAAAGCTTCCAACTAAAATTTGAAAAAAAATAACGTATATGTAGTCATTAGTGAGTACTTTATGCACTCACTAATGGATACTTTACGTAATCATTTTTAAATTTGGCCTGATACAATAAATATCACATGTTTTCTGTTTTTTTAGATCTAAAAAAATTAGTTACATATTCATTATTTTTTAAATAATAAATGTGTTCGAATATTATTTAGACAGAGTATTATCCATAAACGATTGCCTCTACCCACCACGTGGCGCCTACCTACTTGTAGTCTTTGGTTGACTTGTTATACCCCACAAACCTCGCTTCCTCCCTTCCACTAAGAACGCGCGTTGTATTTCCCTTTGTGTTTTCTTATCAGCCTCTTTACCATGCACCAAATCTACACCCAACCACACGGCATCATTACCTACCTAAGTACAAAAGTAACGCTTGACATCGCCTTCCCCCCACATTTTACTCTCCATTTTCTAATCTTCTACGTAATGGTAGAGTTTTTAGTTGCTCAAAACACAAATACATACCTATATTGCGCACATCATCAGATAAGTTGAGGAATATTTAAAAAATTATTTCACGTGTATAATATCATATGACGTATCAGCTTGTGTTTCTTACAATGGAAAATCTATCCTACATACCCCCCTCCCCCCGGGGGGCTCAATCCTAAAATTATTAATAAAATTACATGAATTTCCATATAAGTCAAAACTTTAGAGGGTATTAAATTTTGCCAAACGTCACCATTTATTTTATAAATACCAATCCAGCATAACTTACGTGAGTAGCGCCCAACTTCTGGTGACTGACAGACACTCCTCCCTCCCTCCTCCCTTTCCTCCTCCTCCTCCTCAAATCTTAGCTCCTTAGCTCAAAATTCAAATCTCTCAATTTTCCCAAACGCCAGATTCGCAGGTCCGTGCACGCCCTTCTCCTCCTCCTTAATCGATTCCTCATACGTCGATCACAATCATGCAAATTCCGAGATGTTAATTCTTCCATTCATTGAAGAAATAAACCGGCTTTTTTTGTTTTTTTTAATAATTTCGAATCCGCATGGTTTTAATTCAATAACTTTCTCTTCAGAATTGTGAAACTGCCTTTGTTTTTTGATTGGTTGGATTTTTTTGGGGAATTTACAGAAGGAAGGCATGACGAAGGACTCGTACGAGGATGCCATCGCCGGACTTTCCAAGCTCCTAAGGTACTTCCTCCTCGTCCGGACAAACACCGAACGATCAAGTTACACGATCTTTAATGTCATTTTCTGTAATTATCATTAACGTTGCTGTCCTTCTCTGTCATTTTGGTTGTTTCCGTTTCCGTCACATATCCGTCTCGGACGCGTTCCCGTTTCAGCCTATCAGGCGCTCGTCGTTGCCGCCACGTGGGGCCCATTCGGAGTGGCGTTGGATCAGCCCCTCTGTCACCCCGTGGGTCCCCTTTTTTTGACATTGGTGTTATCTGACGGCTTTTGATAGTTACACTCTTTTATTTCCCTAACCCTGCTGACAGTGAAAAAGCGGACCTCGAGGGCGTCGCCGCCGCCAAGATCAGGGAGATAACGGCTGAGCTGGCTTCGGCCGGTTCGAGCGACCCCGTCCAGAGGATCAAAACCGGGTTCATCCAATTCAAGAAGGAGAAATTCGAGTAAGCAATGTTCTTCGAATGTTGGCCAAATTCCCCTCTTTCCTTCTTTATCCACATCGAATTTACCAAAATACCCTTGTGCTTTAATCCCTGGATGAGAGGGACCTGAACTTTGCTGTTCTCTTCAGGAAAGATGTTGATCTGTACAGCAAACTGGCCACAGGCCAAAGCCCCAAGGTAAGTGATGAACTGGTCGATTGAGCTATAATTTAATCATATACAATACATATATATATAATTAATTATATCTCAAATAAATCTGTTAAATTATTGAGCTAAATAATTAGGTTGTATTGTGAAATTGCAGTTCATGGTATTTGCATGCTCGGACTCTCGAGTTTGCCCATCGCACATCCTCAATTTCCAACCAGGGGAGGCCTTTGTGGTCCGAAACATCGCCAACATGGTTCCTCCATTTGACCTGGTTCGCCTGCCAAAACCCAGTTTTTTACTAATCTCTCACTTCAACACTAGCATTTTTTTTTTTTTTTTTATAACTTACCACAAAACAAAAAATAAAATAGAAAGTACTTGAACACACATCAAAAATGTTATTTATTTATTTATCAATAGAAATGATATTTTACATATAAGAAATGAAGTATACACGACATGAACAATTAAGTGTAATTAATAGAGCTTACCCTGTGCGACAATCGCGCATTGATTTGTGATTGACTCAACCCAAATGAATGATGAAATCTGCTTCAAAACTATATAAAATGCAACATGGTCCGTCAACCATTAGTTATGTTTTGCTGAATTTGCTGGCATCTTATTATTTTATTCGTGTATTGTGATTGACCTAACGGGGTTGGTACCTGGTGGTGCAGACAAAGTACTCGGGAGTGGGGGCAGCCATTGAATATGCGGTATTGCATCTGAAGGTGAAGATAAAACGACCGCTTCTTTCCATATTCAACTTTGCTTTTACACTGACTGGAAGTCCGGAACCACTATTTTCATATTCTACTTTTATTATTTTGTTCTGTGATTCATTCAATAATAGTGACCTAGTCATTGGCTTTGTTCCTTTCCTTGCACACCTTATCATGTTTCCCCCCCAATATAAAAGGGGCAGAAAGAAAGAGCTTCAAACGTTTGCAGATTTAGAAGCTGAATGGATATTAATTATTAAACCCTTTTTGGAAATGTGGTTAAAAAATTAATCGAAAGAGAGTGCGTTTTGTAAGTGGTATTTTGCTCTCGTGGACAAAGTATTATTTTCATTCTATTGTATATCACGTTTAAATCATTTTTTATTTTCTTAATCTAGCTTAAGGTAGAAATTTCGCTTGTACTAAACGAAGAGAGAGTACATGTCCTCAGGTGGAAAATATTTTGGTGATTGGACACAGCTGCTGTGGAGGTATAAAGGGGCTCATGTCTATCCCTGATGATGGATCCACTGCTAGGTAAGCCTTCGTTTATCATAGCAACACACTTTGCATCTTTCTGATTTAATTTGGTTCAAAAGTTGAATAGTTCCTCTAAGTACAATAATTTGATTTAATTTGGTTCAAAAGTTGAATAGTTCCTCTAAGTACAATAATTTAAGTACAAATATTTTAATTAAGAATAATCAAGGATATATGCAGAAAGACCTTTTTTTTTTTCAACAGTTTTGCCTTTTGAACTCCAAAATTGTTGGCTTCTGCTTCCCAATTCCCATGTGGTGTTGCTGCTATTTGCTATTTGGTATAATATTTGTTTTGTGTCATGTCCTACTCAATAGGAAACGAATATGAAGGACTTTATTCTACAGAGACTGTGGTACCATTGTTTTTGGTGGCATCCACAAAGTTGGATAAAGCTACAAGTAGAAGGACAATTACAGTGCTTATGACAGCTTCAGATTCTTTGCTTTTTTTTTCAATTTATCTTTGAAATTCTTTGTAACTTTCAGTACTGTCCGTGCAGCTCAAAATTTTGCTACTCTTTTTTATATTCATTCCTTTAATCGTATGCATATACTGACACAACTACACAAGGCAATCGGCTTTTACAGTTTTATTACTTTTTAACAATGCCATTCTGAAACCAGTACTTTCTCATCCAGTTAACTTAGTTAAAATGATTCGATCATGCATTAACAGTGTTCCATTTGCGTGTTGAATTTTCAGTGACTTCATAGAGAGCTGGGTGAAAATCTGCGCACCGGCAAAGGCCAAGATCAAAGCAGCATGCAGCGGTTTAAGTTTCACAGAGCAGTGCACCAACTTGGAGAAGGTAACTTTTCGTTGCCTAAAAGTAAAAACGGGAAATCATAGCTCTTCTTAGAAAAGATCATGGTCTTAATGCTTCCTAAAAGTTATAATGAAAGCCAACGGTGATTGTTTGTTTAAAGTCGTTATTTGGCCATGTGTTGTATAACATAGTCGAAAATCTCCTATGTATATCACCAGTTGTATACAATCATATGTTTATCTCTCTCATCACACTAACTATGTAATGCGAGAAGATACACATAATTGTATACACATGATGATTGAATATTAGTTAGTATTTTTTTCTAAACATAACATATTATTATAACGATTGGACTAACAAATTAATTCAGATTCTTCCAAGGTCGACCATCTTGTGTTCTAAAAGTTTGTGATCACGATGCAGGAGTCTGTGAACGTGTCATTGGCAAATTTATTGACATATCCATTTGTGAGAGAAGCGCTGGTGAACAAGACTCTGAGTCTGAAAGGCGGATACTACGATTTCGTCAAGGGCAGCTTCCAGCTTTGGGATCTTGATTTCAAAATTACACCTAATTTGACCGTATGAGCATCAAACTTTGTCCAGAAAGCAGAAACCTTCCTTTCGTTTCCTAAAAGAATTTCGTCACAGTGCGTCTTCTCTGGAACAACATTTGGCAAAATAATAGTCTTTGTGGATTGTCTGGTGTTAAAATAAGTATAGTTTTGGTGAATCATTCTCTTTTTTGCACTATGTCAAAAGTTCTCCTTTCAATAGGGATGCTCAAATCATGCAAGTAAACATGCCGTTGAGATTGTACAAGATTCAATGCAAACTTCTTGTCACCAACACTTAAATCCAACCGGAAAATCAAGTGGTATCATGGACAGGGTCTAGAGAGAAAACAATATGCTGGATCCTTTTTATGCGTGTAGCTGCATAATCACGTGATCCGATGGACGAACCCTTGAACTTACCTCTTAAAAATACAAGCTTTGACCACAAAATCTATTTGAAAAGTGGATCCAAACCCAATGGAAATCACACTTGAAACCAAACTCTACAACCTACATTTTGGGATTCGTTTGAAACCGTGGTGATTAGGTGACCATAAGCCCAAAACAAACACGATAGCTTCTCTTGATATAATTTTAATGCAAGCAAAAATATTTAAAATGAAAACGTCGGTGCATATGGCACGTGGACAACCCTAAACTAGTCCAAGCAGGACCTTAAGCTCGAGTCAATGGTTCACTGCTCCAAAAACCAAATCCAAACCACAAATAACTTATTGTAATGGAAGGTACCAGAGTCTAAGGGTTGTTGATTTCCCAGATTGTTTTATTTATCATCACAAGCTAGCGCAACTCGTGTTTTTTTGACAGACAATACATTAGATTATAAGTTCAAAAGTTGATCCATCCATCCGGAGTTTCCTTTTTTTCCTCGTATATTTATTATAGAAAAACTAATGAAAATGGTTTGAAAACTTTGATTTTTAATTAAAAAAAAGATAAAAATTTTTTGTAAGTGAATAGTACTAGGAATGACTTTTTAAAGTAAAAATATTATTTTAGTTAAAAGTGAACAGTATCATGAGGGTTCCGTTAAAACTCCCTTTATTTATATATACACCAATATATAATTAGTATGCAAATTTTAAATTTAGATTAAATTCAATTTATGTGTTGCTAATTAAATTACATCTTACTTTTTCATGGCACATAATTCAGATAAGTGAAAATTATTATTGATCATAAACAAATCATTTATCAACTCAAACTTATGATCAACCAGAACACGTTAGAATTTTAATTACAACAGGTCAAGATGGTATCCTTGTTGAAATTCCACCATGTCCCAGCTAATCATATTGCCATAACTAGAACAAGAAAGCAACTCGGTACAATGCTTGGCCATCCATTCTATCTCTTCTTCTTCTGCATTAGAATCCTCAGCTGCAACAATATCCATATTTGGGTTTTGATCATTACTCTTCGTGACGGAATTTGAGTCCGAGTCCGGCGCCTCGAGCAGTTTGTGTTGGTGTACTAGTTTGTCTCCTGCCAGTTCTTGAGCAGCAGAAGAGCTGTGAGTAGTTGTTTTGGACGTCGAAACAACAGCAACATTTCTAGGTGTCTGCTGCTTTTTTATGGCGTTAAGCTTTTTGTACAAATGAGTGTTCCAGTAGTTCTTTACTTGGTTGTCAGTTCTTCCTGGTACACGCCCCGCAATCAGAGACCACCTTGGCGCAAATTAAACAGGATAATCAGTGATTAATTAACAACTTTAATAAGAATAAAACGAGTTGTGTTATGCGTTTTATTCATCACGGAGTTAACTTATATTTACCCATATATATTTCAATTATTGGTCTTACCAATACTCCAAAACAGAAGGGGATCTCGCTTCACTGTTTATGGAGTGAGATAAAGTAGTGCTCTCCTATTTGACTGTTTCGTGACCAAGTAGCGAGCATATATATAATGAATGTTTAGCGTTTAGTGATTTTACCTTATTTTCTGGCTCAACATTATAGCAAGGCTATTATGCATGGTCACGAACACGTCAAACACAAGAGCATTAGCTATCAATAGTCGAGCGCGATCCCCTTCAGAAGGGGTTTCGTGTGTGTGTGTCGTGTATTATGTTTCTATATATTGCCTGAGTATGTGAATTGCAATATATATATATATATAGGTGTGTGTGTGTGTGTGTGTGTTCCAACTATTATATGGAAAGAGGAAAAAGAAGATGAAATGAAGGAAGGATATAGAGATAACCTGTTTCCAAGGAGATTGTGAAGTCTGATAATGAGGTCTTCTTCTTCCTCAGAAAAATCCCCGCGCTTCACATTTGGGCTGAGATGGTTGAGCCACCTCAACCTGCAGCTCTTCCCACTCCTCCTTAAGCCTACGTATATAACTAAATCAGTACTATAATTTTTAGGAATAAAAAAGAATTTAAGTGCATATATTGCATAATTATACACTAGTACTATACATTTGTGCAGCATATATATATATATATATATATATGTGTGTGTGTGTGTGTGTGTGTGTGTGTGTATGTAAGTATATATATATATATATATATATATATATATATATATGTATGTATGTATGTATGTAGATAGATAGATAGATTGATATGTAGATATATCACTGATAGCTCTTACCGGTGACCTTGGGAATGCGGTTCCAGCGGCCTCTTCCATGTACCCTTATGTAGTCCAGGAGAATCTCATCCTCCTCCTTTGTCCATAACCCCTTCTTGTACTTATATTCTCCTTCCATTTTTACCGGCAACACACAGAGATTAGGAGACAAATGAAAGGGCTCCGAGGGCTTAGATTTTAGAGGAAAGTTATAGCTTGTGTTTTAGATGTTCAAGTGTATATATATACAATAATTATGTAGTACTGAACTTGTTAATTTCCGGGTTTGCAGTAGTACTGCAGGGGAAGTCTTTTGTATTTTTGTAAATAATTTGGATTGTCGGCTAGGCAACCGGAGAGCATTGATTTCCATGGATTCAATTTAATTATAATATTATATTAGCTAACTACCTTGACAGTGAGTGGTCGACTTATGCATCTTGGTACCGTTTGGTACATGAGATGGGACGGAACGCACTCGTCTTACGTTTGGTGCGCTAATTTGTCTGGGATGTGTTGTCCCATGGAACAAATTTTAGTTAATTTTTTTTTGCCACCCTCCCCTTGGAACGACTTGTTCTAGCCCATAGAACACAAAATTATAACTTTTTGGACAACAATACTCCTCATCTTTTTCATTAATTTCACTATATACCCTCTCTCCCGTAGCCTCCCTCTCTCTTGTAGCCTCCTCCTCCTCCACCACAAACCCAACAACCTAGGCTAACACAATCCCACCTTCCTCCTGTCGCCTCCTTCCTCCCTACTAGTAACGAAAACCTCAAGACCACCCACTCGCAGGATGTGGCTAACGTCGTCGCTTGAGGGATGGGACGGGGATGATTAGGTGGAAGATGTGAGGGATGATGTTGAATTCATCAGCAGTGGCTTAGGTAAGGTTGAACTCGTCGGAGTGGATGGGTACGATTGTCATTTAATCCTTCATTTCGTTTCGTCTCGTTTTGTCCCATTTCGTCCCGCCTGCGTACCAAATGGTACCCTTGTGTCCAAGGACCAAGCTAACCACTTGGGTGGCCTAGCTGCTAGAAAATGCAGCATCTACGAACGCAAGTATGTTCTTTCTCGATCGTTGACCTTTTACAAATTTTCAAATGATGTTTCATGTTTGTTTGGATTAAACACCTAAACATGTGTCATGGAGAACAGTAATCCTTTTCGTTCAAATTTCATTTTCAATTTTTTGTGTCTATATAATTTAGTGTATCACAAAATTAATATTTTACGCGCGCCTAAATATGACTCGAAAGTAAAAGAAGAAATTACAAATTAAGAATTCTTTAGTTCTCTCGATCACATGATGTGCGCTTTACGAGTTGGAAAAGCTATTGGTACATATATTAGTTAAACGTAGAATATAATAGCCATAAAATGTTTTCGTAAATTAAAGCAATGTTATATATGAACAATTGTTGTTTGATCGTCTAAAAGAACGCATGTGCACAAATGAACTTCCAAGCAAATGTAAACTTGCTTGCCCAGTTAGACTGCAGCTTCACTAAACTGACTGGTGTTGAGAAGCATCATCACGACAGCTCCATATGTGATGCAAGTGGCCATAGATATAGAGGTACTGAGGATATGAAATCACTGCCTGACCATCAGTACTAAATAGCAATAATGTTCAAGTCCCTACATGTCATTTTCAACTGCTGCATGCATGTCCTTGTTTTTCAACGGGGAGAGACCATGTAAGCATCGTTGATCATGCACAATACTTCATATGGAATGCATTGATACAGTAAATGGTTGAATTTTAATGGGGTGGTGCTATCTACACTTATTTTTACTTCTCACACATTCTTTTGAATTTTCAACCGTCAAATCAAATGCATGTACCCGGAAGACAGAGAGTACACTACATGTCATTATACAAGTGGTAGAAAGTTTTATTTTTCAATTATCCCTCCACTCGTATAATTATTTATGATGTACCATCCACCTTCCGAACACAATGAAAATCTGTCCTATTGCATAGCTTGGTTTTCCTAATTTCGTAACCTATTACCGTTGCATGTTTCCATGACTTGAGGGTCATTAAATTCCTCCTCCAACTATTTGCACAATCTTATCAAGTAACAATAATTTGTACTAACCTGTAGGGCAATCTAACAGGTTCACGTGCTACCGCACAGCAGTTGGTTTCCCTCACCTCTGATTGCAGTATTACTCTCTGCTCGATCTGTTTCTTCCACAAACAGTCAAAACACGTCGGCTAAAAACCCAAGAAATCGTAAATTTATGCAGCATGCGTTGGTCAGGGTAAATTCCTGACTATTTACTTTAGGAAAGCTTTTGTTACAGGATCACATTTGGAAAAAGATAGTGTTATTCACACACTCGTTTGTATCTCTTACACATTTTTATTAATTTTTTATCATTAAATTTCTTCATTTTATTTTATTTGATGGCCGAAAATTAAAAGAGTAGTTTTATTGGCTCCTCACAATATTATGAATACACACCGCTTTCTTTTATTTGGTTTGGACTTCCTGTGTTACGCTTTATTTAAATTAGATAAAAAGCAAACAAACAAAATCAGCACCACCTTCTTCACCATACTACTCCTCGATAGTCACCCACCATGGCGACACCTCTATTAACAAAATGATCTCAAGTATACCAAAACATATGCCGACTTACAATTAAACTCATAGAAAGTCAATTCCTAGTTGACTATGGAAGGATTGCTTCTCTGCACGTAACATTTTTCCAAATTTTTCCCGCCCATCATGTGGGTATCCCTAATTAGGATGATTTCGGCATTAAAATTTTCAATTTTATGGTATTCCATGTCTTGCAGAATATTAGCATAACTGAGAATTCTAGAGAGAGAACGGTGGGAAGGAGGTGGCTATCATTGGTCGACGACACTGATGAAGAAGGTGGCGGCGGGTGAGCGGTTGAGATAGGATGTTGGAAGGTTTTCATTTGTTAACTATTGTAAAAAGGTGGGGGGTGTCTTCAACAAATAAAAGGGCTAAAATTGGAATTTTAGAAAATAATTTTGAACTTGAGGTGTATTCATAAGATCGTGGAGTGTTAATAGAAGCATCCAAATTAAAAAGAGTGTGAAAAATAAAAATGAATATGCCAACAGTACTATCCTAACCACGTACTAATACAAGGTGTGACTTGCTCGAAAATGTGGTACAAATGGTTGTACAATTGACATTTAATTTACTGAGAGGAGGCCAAATACCAATTTAGTTTTGGACGATACTATCAAACATATCAATGTTATTCATGCAGCGGGGAACGTACATTACGATCAAGGTGGTCCCAAGCTTATTCAGGATCTGAGAAATATACATGTGGAGGTCTTCTAACGACTCTTCCAATATTTGGTATGAGTTCATTTTGTGCTTACTAAGTGTTTGATGTAATACCTAGCTAGGCATAGCTCAACACCACTCGTCAGGTTGCGTCGAAATTACTCGACAAGTCCTCTTGACAACACTTATTTGATTGCTTCAGCATATGTCAATATCTATTCACATGAGTGCAACACGGTTCGGCTAACAACAACAAGCCCACCAAGTGTTCGACAAAATACCTCCGTAAATAAATTAAATTTTTTTGCGCACTTTTTTCTCTTTTTATATTAAAAAAACTTGAACTTGAACATTAAAATCCTCCGATATTCGAATTGTAGATCCGTCATTGTTTACATGTGTAGTATGATTAATCTAGTCTATGGATTGGTATCCAGTATCAAAGAATATTTCTCCCTTTTGTTGCTTTTATGTGTTTAGTTGGTTTTTATTATCTGTTAACCTAATTTCTACAATCCACGCTAGCACAACATTGAGAGTTGAAAGAGAGGAAGCCAGAGTCCGCATAGCTTAATTATTGGTGACATTCCGGACAAATAATACAACACTTTATAATTCAAAATTTTCACATAAATTATATGATTAATTTGAAATACGTCATTTTAACAGATCTCATTTCATATTAGTTTTCTCGGATTATGTACGGCGATCGATATGTATTGGATACTGATCGTTGTGAAGTCATGATCAAGCAGTTAAATAATATACCTAAACGATGTACACGTACGAATAGTAAATGTTGTCCATCAAACAATTAGCTGGAATATCAGTAGAGACGACTGATTGACAGTGTATGTTGCTGTACAACATTTATGTTCTTCTGCCCAGGGATTAAATGATGAAACATCGCTGTAAAACTGCCACTGTTATATTAGAAAAACGAGTAAAAGAGAGAGCATTATCAGAAAGCAAACTCTCTAGCTGCTGTGGAATAATCAATCAGTGCTTCAGAGGCTTCAGAGTTACCCACATATATCTATATCTATATATATATATATATATATATATATATATATATATATATATATATATATATATTACACACCTATTTTTTATTTTTACACATTTCTCTTAAGTTTTGACATTGAATTAACAAGAACGTATGAGAAGTAAAAATAGGTAAGTGAATAGCACTTTCTATAAATATATATATATAACAGCAGCTAGCTATACTGCAATATATATGGGAGGCGAATTCGTGGTACTACTTTTTTTACATAATTTTTGACACAAATTTTCATGGGACTCACATGTATTTATATATATAGCAGTAGTTAGCTATACTGCACAATATATATGATCTCATATTTCCAAAGATCCGAATCGTCTATCTTTTAGAACATCATTCATAGATCATTCTTACAAAAAATTAAACCAATTCAAAATCATTATGACATTTGTCTGTAGTGAAAAAAATAGACAAATACAGTTTTAGAAAAAAAAAATCTTAAACCAATCTAATGGTCATATGATTTCAAATTTGGGTTGTTTTGATAGACATGATATTTGAGGATATACCTAAAAGATATACGATTTGGATCATTGAAAAACATTACAGAGTAAGTCCTACAAAAACTTATGTAAAAAATTATATAAAAAAAGTGGTGCACACCCTTTATTTATATGTACTGGGTCCACTCTAACTGGGTAGATTTGTATTATAAATATTGCAGTATAGATCTGTATATTTGACTTGTGGACATCATCATCGATCTGCATATTTTGGTTTTTGAATCGCTATGAATTCTCGTGGTAAATGCTTTTAAGGATAAAATACAAATCATTGTACTCGTTCTGGTCCTAACTGTTACCCATTTTTATCACAGTTAATTCACTCGTGGTTAAAACAATTTACAGTAACAATTTGGTATTAATTCTCTTGTTGCAAAAAGAATTCACCATGTTTGTTAAAAAAACCATATGGTCCATTTCAATATAACTGGTATTTAAAAAACAATCACAAAATAAAAGGTTTGTTTGATAAATATTTAAATGAAGAATTATAGAGGGGAAAGAGGGTGCCGCGGCAAGAGGGAATTGGTGAATTCTGAAGTATATTTTATCTCACCCTGTTATATAGTAAGAAAAGGAGAATCCTTGTATTTCAAGTAAATTTTAATTAGGACACTATCTAGAAGATACTATAGAATTCCAAAAGAATTTACACAATCATTCCTAACTAAAGTAAGACTGCAACAAATTTCTTTTTAATTGTGAGTTATATTCAACTTGTTGTCGGTTTAAGTTGTAAGTGAAAAGTCTAAGTTATATTGAACTTAATACAACGATTTAGTGTTATTTCTCTTCATTTGTAAGTGAAAGGTTTTAGGTTCGATTTTCGCAAAAAACGAAATTGAACCACATTATTATGGTAAATCCATTGTAAAGTTTAGCAGCCCACTCCTGCACCCCCTCAGCGTAGATACTACAATTTGTTAAAAAAAAATTCGAGTTTTCTCTTCTAATCCTGTGATGACATCACATTACCAGAGTTACTTATTCGAATGGGGCTTTGGCAGACACTTTTCGTTCCAAATTTGGTGATTGAGAAAAGCAAACCTGTTGACGGCCCAAAGATTTAAATATTTGGGTTATACTCCAAATAAACCCATCAACTACTTTCATCACTCAGCAAAGGCTACGTTCTGGAGGTTAACCACGTCGTTTTCCAGTCAAAATCTTGTTCTCCAAGGCAGCTAGTCCGACGTACTGCTCGTTATATGGGAATTTGGGGTTCAGTTTGTAACGTTGTAGGAAATCCAACCATGGGGAATTGTAAGAAATTGAATTACGAGGAACGTTAGGTACCAAAGACAAAGCAAGTCTTTTTGGCACCTTGCTTCACATCCAGCAGGTAACCATGTAGATATTACGATGCTAGTATCATTTGGTTCTAAACAGTGCAGTGGTTTAAATTTATTGTATGTTGCATTTTAGGATCGTGTCCTGAAGTGCAATTGGACTTGGATTCAACGCCAACACAGAAAATGCGAGACTTGTACATGGAGTTCTTATGCTGAAAACAGTTGTTGTATGGCATCATTCATCTCTTAATCTGAATTATGTTACATTGACACTACATGTTTTATTGAAAGAATCCTCTTTGTTAGATTTTTCATGTTTGTGTAAACTCTAATAAAGTTCTGTAGTTTGTGGTTTAATCAAATATTTGATATACCTTGATTGGATGAAAATAACTGAGTACTTTAGTCAGCTATTGCATAAGAGGCTAAAAGAGAACCTCTCAGTACTTGAGGGCTACTAATTAATCCCAGATTTGAACTGCTACTAATTATTGTACCTCCTTTCATTCATTTTGATTTGCATCTTATTAAGGGACTAAAGAAAACCTCTCAATTGGCAGGTGGCTTGACATGTTCATTACAAGGTTAGATGAACCATTGTCCTGGCCTCTAAGAATCTATGTATGGTAAATGTCCGATGCTTAATCAAACTCACTATATGCTGGATGCTAATATGATGTTAAGTTTTCATTTTTTTTATTGCACTGCTATGTTGTTATTGCAGCTCTGCCCCATTCTCTACTATGGTTCTATAGCGTCCAAGGTTTAAGGTCGCAATTGATGCTCTTCAGTAAGCCACCTCTTGCCTGATGACAAATGCTCACATTTCTGATATTGCTAATATTAAACGAGAAATATATAATTGCACTCGTAATATAATCTTTTTAAATGTTTGAGTTTGCGTATGTGGAACTTTTGAAGGTAATTTGATCTAAAGCTGGGAATGCTCATTTTCTTGTGTTGTGTGGAAATAATGACTCTAATTTTAGGAGTTAGACTCTGAGAAGCTTCCAATATATTTTTTACGATCTCTATCATTATTTCAATCTAGTGGAATGATATTTAGCACATTTGAGAGCTTCTAATCATTATTTCAATCTAACTGTTTACGAAAACTATGACTACCTCAACAAATTCATGGCTAGTTGATGCAGGAAGTTCAAGTTTGAGTTACATGAGAGCTTGGGTCGCCTGAGGAGCCATTAGCCAATCCTGTTGCAGAGATGGACGAGAGACCATGACAATGGGAGCTTCTGTGTGAACAGTTTCAGTTCACCACTTTTTTATATTTTTTATTTGGTTCATGTGTAACATTCCTTCAATTGTTTTATGATTTCACTAACGATGCTTTTGTATAGTACTCTGGATGTACATTCAACATATCAATCAGTAAAATATTATTTCTTAACAATTGTCTATTATATTTTGATATGCATATATAAGAGCTAAGCATCAAAGCATTTTTTTAAAATAAATTAAGGGAAATTTTATTTAAACCCATCTAACCTCTTTCCACACCCAACTTAAATTTTAAATATTAATTGTCTATTTTACCCTATAGCATAATTACTATTAAGTACAAAATGAAATTAATAATAAAAATCAAATTTATAGACCCACATACTATAACTAAACCCTAGCATCACTCTTTGTTTATCCTACGTTCATTCCGACTAAAATCTTAATAGCTTTGATAGAGAAAAACAAGCTTTTCTATTGATGGATGGTGATTCTGAAGTTTTTAATCCTCCAACTAATGTATGACTCGATTTATGGATATTTTGTTTGTTTGCTTCTTCTTTGGATTAAATTTCATACTTTTTATATTATATTGTATTTGTTTCTCTATGTCGTCTGTATGTGCCTCAAAACACCAGTGCAAGGACTTTTGATTAGTACTGCAAAGACATAAAACTTGATTCTTGGTGCAAATAAAGATTGCTCAACCTTAACCACGAACTGGCGGGTGGCATGTCTTGCACCTTTTTTATTCGAAATAGCTCCAATTTGTTTATTTGTTTATTAACATAGCAGCAAAACACCCAGCCCTATGTCACTTCAACATTTCTTAAAAAGTACATGAAAATGCTCGATTTAAAAAGGACTGAACTGGAACTTGCATAACATTCTCTTGGCAAATTCAAGTCTATGGAAGGATCTCTTGGATCCCAAGTCCATGGATGGGTTGTGGTAGCAGAAAAGAAGAAGAAAAAAAAAAAAAAAAAAAAAAAAAAAAAAAAAAAGCAGCCATGGAAATGCTAGTCCTATACGGTAGATGCAATTATAGGGGGCAAAGGACGCCTCTTTGAAAAAAAAACATTCAATTAGGGATGTTATTTTATAAAGAGATTGGGTGTAAAGTTAATTTTACATTTTGAATTGGATTTGAGAGGGTAGTTTAGGTAATAAATTTGGGTTTAAAGAGATATTAATTCTTTAATAAAAACAATATAGATGAAAAGAGTAAGTTAGGTGTAGAAAGATGTTGGATGGGTTCAAATAAAATTTCCCATAAATTAAATGTCTTCTTGACAAAACCAATTTGTCGGCAAAGTTGTGCCGACAAAAATATCCATGACGACAAACACATTTTGTAGGCTAAAAAGTATTATTCATTGGCTAAAAAGGATTGTACTGACAAAAATATTTGTCAGAAAAGATGGAAATGCCAACAAATAAGATGTTGACAGGAAAAGATGAATCTTAGCCGACGAAATACCAAAATTCATCGGCAAAACTCGGCGACACACTTTGCGCTACAAAATTGCCGACAAAATTTTTCCTTGGGAAAGACACTTTGCTGACAAATATTGACTTTTGCCGAAACAACAGCAACTTTTCTAGGTGTCTGCTGCTTTTTTATGGCGTTAAGCTTTTTGTACAAATGAGTGTTCCAGTAGTTCTTGACTTGGTTGTCAGTTCTTCCTGGTACACGCCCCGCAATCAGAGACCACCTTGGCGCAAATTAAACAGGATAATCAGTGATTAATTAACAACTTTAATAAGAATAAAACGAGTTGTGTTATGCGTGTATCCATCACGCAGTTAACTTATATTTACCCATATATATTTCAATTATTGGTCTTACCAATACTCCAAAACAGAAAGGGATCTCGCTTCACTGTTTATGGAGCGAGATAAAGTGGTGCTCTCCTATTTGACTGTTTCGTGACCAAGTAGCGAGCATATATATAATGAATGTTTAGCGTTTAGTGATTTTGCCTTATTTTCTGGCTCAACATTATAACAAGGCTATTATACATGGTCACGAACACGTCAAACACAAGAGCATTAGCTATCAATAGTCGAGCGCGATCCCCTTCAGAAGGGGTTTCGTGTGTGCGCGTCGTGCATTATGTTTCTATATATTGCCTGAGTATGTGAATTGCAATATATATATATATGTGTGTGTGTGTGTGTGTTCCAACTATTATATGGAAAGAGGAAAAAGAAGATGAAATGAAGGAAGGATATAGAGATAACCTGTTTCCAAGAAGATTGTGAAGTCTGATAATGAGGTCTTCTTCTTCCTCAGAAAAATCCCCGCGCTTCACATTTGGGCTGAGATGGTTGAGCCACCGCAACCTGCAGCTCTTCCCACTCCTCCCTAAGCCTACGTATATAACTAAATCAGTACTATAATTTTTAGGAATAAAAAAGAATTTAAGTGCATATATTGCATAATTATACACTAGTACTATACATTTGTGCAGCATATATATATGTGTGTGTGTGTGTGTTTGTGTGTGTGTGTAGATAATCACTGATAGCTCTTACCGGTGACCTTGGGAATGCGGTTCCAGCGGCCTCTTCCATGTACCCTTATGTAGTCCAGGAGACTCTCATCCTCCTCCTTTATCCATAACGCCTTCTTGTACTCATATTCTCCTTCCATTTTTTCCGGCAACACACAGATTAGGAGACAAATGAAAGGGCTCCGAGGGCTTAGATTTTAGAGGAAAGTTATAGCTTGTGCTTTAGATGTTCAAGTGTATACGTATACATATAATTATGTAGTACTGAACTTGTTAATTTCCGGGTTTGCAGTAGTACTGCAGGGGAAATCTTTTGTATTTTTGTAAATAATTTGGATTGTTGGCTAGGCAACCGGAGAGCGTTGATTTCCATGGATACAATTTAATTATAATATTATATTAGCTAGCTACCTTGACAGTGAGTGGTCGACTCATGCATCTTGGTATTGTTTGGTACATGGGATGAGACGGAACGCACTCGTCTAACGTTTGGTGCGCTAATTTACTTGGGACGTGCTGTCCCGTAGAACAAATTTTAGTTAATTTTGTCTTGCCACCCTCCCCCTAGAACGACTTGTTCCAGCTCATGGAACACAAAATTATAACTTTTTGGACAATAATACCCCTCCTATTTTTCATTAATTTCACTATCTACCCTCTTTCCCGTAGCTCCCTCTCTTCTACCCTCCTCCTCCACCACAAACCTAGCAACCCAGGCTACCCCAATCCTAGTAAACCCATTCGAACCCAACCCCACCGCCTCCCTCCTCCCTGCTAGTCCCACAATGAGACCGTGGCCCTTCGTTGAGAAAACCTCAAGACCACCCACTCGCAGGATGTGGCCGATGTCGTTGCTTGAGGGATGAGACGGCGAGGATTAGGCAGAAGATGTGAAGGATGACATTGAACTCGTCGACAGTGGCTCAGGTAAGGTCGAACTCGTCGGAGTGGATGGGTACGATTGTCATTTAATCCTTCGTTCCATTCCGGCATGAGCGTACACCAAACGTAGCATGGAACCTCCGTTCCGTTCTATCCTGTTCCATCTCGTTTTGTCCCGTTTCATCCCGCCTGCATACCAAGCGGTACCCTTGTGTCCAAGGACCAAGCTAACCACTTGGGTGGCCTAGCTGTTAGAAAATGTAGCATCTACGAACGCAAGCATGTTCTTTCTCGATTGTTGATCTTTTACAAATTTTCAAATGATGTTTCATGTTTGTTTGGATTAAACACCTAAACATGTGTCATGGAGAACAGCAATCCCCTTCGTTCAAATTTCGTATTCAGTTTTTTGTGTCTATATAATTTAGTGTATCATAAAATTAATACTTTACGTGCGCCTAAATGTGACTCGAAAGTAAAAAGGAAAATTACAAATTAAGAATTCTTTAGTTCTCTCGATCACATGATGTGCGCCCTACGAGTTGGAAAAGCTATTGGTACATATATTAGTTAAACGTAGAATATAATCGCATAAAATGTTTTCGTAAATTAAAGCAATGTTGTATATGAACAATTGTTGTTTGATCGTCTAAAAGAACGCACGTGCACAAATGAACTTCCAAGAAAATGTAAACTTGCTTGCCCAATTATACTGCAGCTTCACTAAACTGACTAGTGTTGAGAAGCATCATCACGACAGCTCCATTGTATCTCTTACATATTTTTGTTAATTTTTTGTCATTCAATTTTTTCATTTTATTCCATCTGATGACTAAAAATTGAAAAGAATACGTAAGAAGTAAAAATGAGTGTGTCAATAATACTATCCTAACCACGTACTAATACAATGTGTGACTTGCTTGAAAATGTGGGACAAATAGTTGTACAATTGACATTTAATTTACTGAGAAGAGGCCAAATACCAATTTAGTTTTGGACGATACTATCAAACATATCAATGTTATTTACATGCAGTGGCGGACATACATTAGGACCAAGGTGGTCCCAAGACTATCTGTAGTTTGAGAAATATACATGTGGAGGTCTTCTAACGACTCTTCGAATATTTGGTATGAGTTCATTTTGTGCTCACTAAGTGTTTGATGTAATACCTAGTTAGGCATAGCTCAGCACCACTCAACAGGTTGTGTCGAAAGCACTCGATAAATCCTCTCAACAACACTTATTAGATTGATTTAGCATATGTCAATATCTATTCACATGAGTGCAACACGGTTCGGCTAACAACAACAACCACACCAAGTATTTGACAAATACCTCAGTGAATAAATTAAATTTTTTTACTCACTTTTTTCTCTATTTATACTAAAAAATTTGGACTTTAACATTAAAATTCTCCAATATTCAAATTCTAAATCCGTTATGGTTTACATGTGTAGTATGATTATTCCAGTCTATGGATTGGTATCCAGTATCAAATAATATTTCTCCCTTTTGTTGCTTTTATGTGTTTAGTTGGTTTTTATTATTTGTTAACCTAATTTCTACAATCCACGCTAGCACAACCTTGAGAGTTGAAAGAGATGGAGGAAGCCACAGTCCTCCTCATAGCTTAATTATCAGTGACATTCCAAACAAATAATACAATGTTTTATAATTCAAAAAATTTACATAAATTATATGATTAGTTTGAAATATCGTTTTTTTAACAGATCTCGTTTCATATTAGTTTTCTTACATTATATACGGGGATCGATATGTATTGGATACCGATCGTTGTGAAGTCTTGATCAAGCAATTAAATAATATACCTAAACGATTTACAAGTACGAATAGTAAATGTTGTTCATCAAACAATTAGCTGGAATATCAGTAGACGACTGATATTTACAGTGTATGTTGCTGTGCAACATTTACGTTCTTCTGCCCAGGGATTAAATGATGAAACATCGCTGTAAAACTGCCACTGTTATATTAGAAAAACGAGTAATTAAAAAGAACAACAGAAAGCATTATCAGAAGGCAAACTCACGAGCTGCTGTGGAATAATCAATCACTGCTTCAGAGGCTTCAGAGCTACCCACAGATATATATATTTAGCGTAGTGCCATTGCACATCCATTTTTTATTTTCACACATTTCCCTTAATTTTTGACATGGAATGAATTGAAGAAGATTAATGGTGTAACATTCCACATCGCCCAGGAAAGTGGATCTTGTAAATCTTATATGTGTATTCTCATCTCTACCTAGCACGAGGCCTTTTGGGAGCTCACTGGCTTCGGGTTCCATTGAAACTTCGAAGTTAAGCGAGTTCGAGCGAGAGCAATCCCAGGATGGGTGACCCACTAGGAAGTTTTGGTGTGAATTCCCAGAAACAAAACCGTGAGGGCGTGGTCAGGGCCCAAAGCAGACAATATCGTGCTACAGTAGTGAAGCAGGCCCGGGATGTGGTGGACCCTAGGCCAGGATGTGACAATTTGGTATCAGAGCCAATCATTTGCCGGAAGTGTGCCGACGAGGTCGTCGGGCCCCTAAGGGGGGTGGATTGTAACATCTCACATCGTCCAGGGGAGTGGATCCTGTAAGCCTTATATATATATTCTCATCTCTACCTAGTACGGGATGGGTGATCCATTGGGAAGTTCTTGTGTGAGTTCCTAGAAACAAAACCGTGAGGGCGTGGTCAGGGCCCAAAGTGGATAATATAGTGCTACGGTAGAGTCAAGCCTGAGATGTGACAAATGGCATCTCAGGATGAGTGACCCATTAGGAAGTTCTCGTGTGAGTTCCTTGAAACAAAACCGTGAGGGCGTGGTCGGGTCCCAAAGCAGACAATATTGTGCTACGATGGAGTTGAGCCCGGGATGTGACAATTTGGTATCAGAGCCAATCATTGGGCGAAAGTGTGCTGACGAGGACGTCAGACCCCTAAGGGGGATGGATGGTAACATCCCACATCGCCCAGAAAAGTGGATCTTGTAAGCCTTATATGTATATTCCCATCTCTACCTAACACTAGGCATTTTGGGAGCTCACTAGCTTCGGGTTCCATTGGAACTTCGAAGTTAAGTGAGTTCGCAAGAGCAATCCCAGGATGGGTGAGCCATTGGGAAGTTCTCGTGTGAGTTCCCAAAAACAAAACCATGAGGACATGGTCGGGGCCCAAAGCGAACAATATCGTGCTACGGTGGAGTCGAGCCCGGAATGTGACAAATGGTGAGAAGTCTAAGTTATATTGAACTTAGTACTATGATCTAGTGGTATTCCTCTTCACTTGTAAATGAAATGTTTTAGGTTCGATTTTCACAAAAGGCGAAATTGAATCACATTATTATGACAATTCCATTGTAAAACTTAGCCCACTCCTGCACTATCTCAGTGTAGATACTGTTGTTTATTAAAAACTATTTCGAGTTTTCTCTTCTAATCTTGTGATGAGATCACATTACCACAGTTACTTATTTGAATTGGGCTTTGGTAGACACTTTTCATTCCAAATTTGGTGATTGAGAAAAGCAAACCTGTTGACGGCCCAAAGGTTTAAATATTTGGGTTATACTCCAAATAAGCCCATCAACTATTTTCATCACTCAACAAAGGCTACGTTCTGGAGGTTAACCACGTTGTTTTCGAGTCAAAATCTTGTTCTCCAGGGCAGCTAGTCCGACGTACTGCTCGTTATATGTGCATTTGGGGTTCAGTTTGTAACGCTGTAAGAAATCCAACCATGGGGAATTGTAAGAAATTGAACTACGAGGAACGTTAGGTACCAAAGACAAAGTAAAAACAAGGAGATGTCGTTCGTTTCAACAAAGCTTGTGGCATTCTTCCGGCGATCCTAGAGTTTTCCTACCATTAGCATTGGAGTGACACATTCCGTGCCTTTCAAGAACGCTAGTCTGCAACGAAGAGGTCCCATATTGGCAAACTCCATGCGAGTCTTTTGTGACTACGTATCAGAGCAACAAAAACAGGTGAAGGCCTTTCAAAGCCTCTGAAGCAAATAGCAACATCAAAGACAAAAGTCAAGTCTTCTTGCTGTCGTGCTCCACGCCCTAGTACTAAACAAACTCTTTGCCCCAACTTTCCAAGAAGTCACAGTGGAGTCAACGATGGTGGTGATGTTGAGTGACATTTTTGCCCCTCAACATATGTAACAGATTTTCCTTGTATTGTCAAGGTTATCTAAAATCTCTTAAGTTTCGACAAATTGTGTTAGTTTTCTAATCGCTTCGAGCGAGGAGAGGGTAGGCTTCTTTGAAGTTATATTTTCCGCACTGACAAAGAGCATCTACTTATTGGCCAATATGATACATGTCACAATTTGACGCAAATCATATTACAAAGAGATAAGGCAACATCATATATTCATCTCTATGTACACAGCAAAAGATCGCTCAACTGTTTTCTGTTTTCCTTCTCATTCAATTGGATGTATGACTACCTTTCCAGTGGCCCGATTTGTTTCAAGGTAAGAGAAAGCCTCCACAAGCTTGGAGAAGGGGAAGGGCCCTTTGGGGTCTATCACTGGCTTCACCTTCCCACTCTCCAAGTACGGGTTTAGTTTCTTCAGAACTGCTCCGTTGGAAGTAACTACGAATCTGAAACCCGGAGGTGTTACTGCACCTGTTAAGGCCACTACACTGCCCCCTTCTTTCACCACCTTCACTGCTTTGTCACATTGACCTGCCATTATAAGAAAGGGGAGAAGAAGTCGCTTTTGGATAGGTTCAAAACGAGCAATCAAACTCAAAAACAATAGCTAAGGTGGATGATTGGTCAGTGTACTTAAAACAACAGCAAGAACTACAAGGACTAATCGTAATAGTGGCTATCATTTTTCACTTGAAAGAACAGAAAATTGTAATTCTAGGTAGAACACTCATCCACTGCAATTAAAAACACCTTGTTGTTATGGAAACTCTTACCAATAGCATCATAGACGACATCAAATTTTTCCGGCAATTCTTCCAAGTTCTCCTTAGTGTAGTCGATCGCTGAATCAGCACCCAAGCTCTTCAATAACTCCAGCTTTCCAGTGCTTGAAGTGGCTGCTATTCGTGAAGCTCCAAATACATGTTTTGCTAGCTGTTTCGAGTTTGAACCAACAATTGTGACTCAAAAGGGAAAAACAAAAGCATGAAACATATGATTTTGTCAAGCAATGCTTTCAGTTTGCAATCATGGGCGGAAGAGAATGAATTGGTACCTGAATCACCAGGCTTCCAACTCCACCAGCACCATTCAGAACAAGCAAAGATTTACCGGCAGAAAACCCGGTCTTTTCAAGACCCTCATAAGCTGTCTCGATTGCAAGAGGAAGTGAAGCAGCCTGAGCAAAATCCAAATTCTTAGGCTTTGGTGCCAGTAACCTCTCTTCAACAGCAGTGTACTCTGCAAGAGAGCCAGATTGTTTAGGCCCTTCCAAAGCTTTCTCATGTATGTCTCCATACACTTCATCCCCCTCTTTAGAGTCCTTCACTTTACTGCCAACCTTCACCACCACGCCGGCAACATCATAGCCTGGAACAGTCTGCAGGGAAACAAAATAAACTAACCCTAGGGTTTGTTGTGCCATTCGATGAAGCTGACGCAAGCGGTATCATATAGGAAATCAAGAGAAAAGTACTTTTTTTTTTTTCAGTTAGGGGTGAATGATTTTTTATTTTGCGAGGATTGAAATTTATAAGTTTCGCAAATGAGTATTCCATCAACTACCTTCAAGTCGGACAAAATTTCTTCATTTCTTCCTTCGGCATACCTCGAGTATAGTAGAGTTATCGAAATTCAATTAACCCTAAACACAAACCAGCCTCATATACACAATTTTAACAAAAAATTTGTAGTCCCACATTCTCTACTATGATTCTTTGCGTAAAATGTTCACTTGTTTGTCAAACTTAATTATCCAAATTCAAATTTAGACACATTTTCTCAGCATTCAAACAGAGCCAAATGAAAGAAAACCCAAACCAAGAAACCGAAATTACCGGAAGAGGAGAATCAGTGTTCTTGAACTTGCCCTGCCTCCTCTTGAAGTCAACCGGGTTGAGAGCCGCAGCGACAACCTTAACCAGAACCTGGTCCTCCAGCAACTCAGGAACCGCAACTTTGGTGTCGAATTTCAAAACATCAACACCCCCGTATTCCCCATAAACCCACGCCTTCATCTCCGACGGCAGAACCGTGACCTTTGACGCCTCAGCCGAAGCAGGGGCAGACTGGGAACTAGCAGACACTCTCAGAGCGGGAAAACCAGCTGAAAGCTTGGATCTTTGGGTGGTCAAGCTTTTGGGTACTGCGATTCTGTTGTTATTTTCCCGGAAAGTGAAGGAAAATCTGGGAGAAATTTGGTTTGGGGATGTGAGTTTAGAAGCAGTGGCGGTGAGAGCGGCCGTGGTGGTTAACATGGTTGTTTCCGACCTCAACCTTGAACTGCTTATCTCTTTCTCCTCCGCTTCGTATGGCCACGTTTTTAAACTTGCTTTTATGTCCGTACCGGAGTGGGACAGAGTCAGGATAAAGTGTGGTCGGGAGCAGATTTTTAATATACAGTCGGCCAATAGCGTTGCTCCAAATCCGAAGCGCGAAAGTACGGAAGGCGCGACACGGGAACGCGACTTGTGGGAAAAAATTAAAACACGTGGACGGCAGGGATATCTAGTGATGGGATTGGAGATCGACGGTCAGGAACTCAGTACGGGTAAAGCATAACCCTTTTTTACTTCGGAGTTCGTAGAGAGCTGTGACGACCGCGGATTTCCATTTAGTCAGATTTTCGCTCTTTCTCTCTGTCGCATTCGTTGGTTGTCGGAGGTAATTTACACGATCCTTGTTTCTCTTACGTTATACTTCGATGAATCGTTTGTTTTTCGATTTTTTTTTTTTTGTATTTTTGTTGGAAAATTTATGATTTTGTTAGATTGTAGTGTGTTTCTGACCACCGTAGAGCGATTAATTTTCCGATCCGTCGTTTAACATAGATATTCTCTGATATGCTTTTTGAATCGGAAGATGTCCTTGGAAATTTGTGATTAAACTTGTCAGCTTACAATTTACAATTAGTTTCTGCTAGAACGTTTGATAGCATTCTGTAATATTTGTTTTGTTGTTGAAAAACTAGAAGCAAGTAGGATTTGATGAAGCTCATCTTCTCGGAAAAACAGATAATTAAAGTAAATTAGGGGTCTTTATTCTAATTTTTAGTTTCATGGTTGACTTTTCGAATTTCATATTGCGATAAAAATCGAAGCTTGATAATTCTTTTTCTATGTTACGGTTATGGCTTGCAATTCTACATGTAATGTACAACTGTGTTTCTTGAATGTGTTAGTTTTAGTGATTGAGCATTTCGTGGGTGTGGATTTTGGGTAGGTTGTGCTGCAATGGCTGAAGCGAAACAAGGATTGAGGAAACCAGTATTCACCAAGGTAGCCCAGCTCCGCCCAGGTACTTCTGGGCACACTCTGACGGTAAAGGTTGTTAATACTAAGATGGTGTTACAGAAGGGTCGTGCCGATGACCGTCAAGCACGCCAAACGCGAATTGCTGAATGCTTGGTTGGTGATGAAACCGGATTGATTATCTTCACAGCTAGAAACGATCAAGGTGTGTATTTCAAGTTTACTTTTTACTCTCACCGGTGGACACAAAATCTATGCTCAGCGGTTGCTGGATCAAAATCCAGTGACTCCTAATCAAAACCCGTAAAGTAGTTTTTTTTTTTTCTGAATAATATCAGAGGTTGGATTTGAATCTAATGGTTGGTAGGCATGGATTTTCGTGGTCATGGGCAAGTTAGAGATCATGACTTATATATGTGTGTGGGGTACGTATGTGTGTGAAAAAATGTGACTACTCCAATTTCCCCTCATGTCGAGGGTTTGCGGCCTTTTTTAATATTCTTGATGGTTGCTGTTCAATATTGTTATTTCGTTTATTCTTGGTTCTGGTTTCTAAACCTTGAGTCTAGTTCTTTATAGTTTAGCAGGTCTTAGACTTTCGGTTCACGGTAACTAGATTGGCCAGTGATTGCTTCCATCACTCTGCTATCAGTTTTCAGCTGATGTTTGATGATGAATAAGGAAGTTAAGTGGTGTTAAATAAATTCACATGCGGGTCAATGCCGGAGTCCCTTAATTAGTCAAACAAGATGATATCTTGTGAAAATAGTGCTTTTGATCATGGGTAACAATATTTTAAATGTGGGATGAGGATACCAGTGTTTGTAAGCTGGACTAACTGTAAATTGGATTCCAAACCACAGGCGTAGTTTTGGTTGAATTGTTCCGGAACAATTTGTCTTCTTAGTATTATACATGAGGTAGACGGATATGCTCGTGGATACTATTCTGTGAGCAATTATTTTGCTTAAATGTTGTAGTATAGTTTTTTGCTTCCGCTCTTAGCTTGTCAAGTCTTCATCTTCTGAGGCTTTCGGTATTGAATTGCAATTTACTAAATATGCTAGAATTATGTACATGATTTACTTTGATCCTTTGATATGCTTATTAGATGTTGTCCTTAATTTCTGAGTATGTTCAATAAGGCATGATGCTTACGACTTCTGCTTATTATAATGCCTGTCCATGCATATCTTGTTTCCTACTGGTGAGCAATGGTTTGGAATCATGGAATTCTAAACGCTCCACTGTGGATGATGGTTTGTTTTGTCAAATTATATTTCGAAATATGAATCATATATTCAATCTTTGTGTTGTCTTAATAATAAAGAATGATGTGAATGATCAACCTTTCTGTAATTTCTGATTTTGGATGAGCGTCTATTCAAAACCTATGCTCTGTGATTGGAATGTGCCAGTTTCATCTTCTTTTTTGGGTTCTAGGTCTAAAGTATTTCAAGAGTAAAACTTCATTTAAAGCCTTAACACAGCTCACTTCAAGAAAGCTCCTTTAATGGAGCCAGGGAGGTAAATCTAGACCTAAGATAAAGCAACAAATAACAGTGCATGAAGGTGGCTGCCGGGCCGCTGAAAGAGATGACATCTAGGAAACTGAGAAAAAATTTAAAAATTAGGAATACCAACACATATTTCTCAAAAATGTGATCCAGTGTGAACAGTTTTGAACCCTCTATAATTTTTTTGCTAGGCGTACTCGAGAATTGATGTGTTAATGTGTATATTGTATCACCACTCTTTTTGATTTTGCCTCGGCATTGTGTGTGGTATACATTATCCGTTATTAATTGATGTCATGATGGTGTTGTGTAGTGGACTTGATGCAAGAAGGTTCTACCATAACCCTGCGGAATGCCAAGATTGACATGTTTAAAGGATCAATGAGACTTGCTGTGGACAAGTGGGGCCGTGTCGAAGTTGCTGAACCTGCCAGTTTCACGGTTAAGGAAGATAACAACCTCTCCCTGGTTGAATATGAACTTGTCCAAGTTTTTGAACAGTAACTTGTTTGGATGGAGTTCGGTTCTCTACCTTGTCTTAACCGAAAAATAAAAACAACCCTAAGAAAAAAGTTCTGTGCTGATATGGAGCATCTAATCTCCAAAATGTTCTCGGAAGTTCACTTTTAGGAAGAAGAAATCTTGAAACTGGTTCTACCCGAGTCTTTTCTTACGTTTGCAGCTAATCGTGATGGAGCTTTGGTTGGATTGCCAATTAGATGGCGATGGCTGTAAGTTTTTGAACATGAGGGAACTGGCTTTCTCTGTTTTACTATCTATTTACATTTGGAAAAGTACATATGGGATTAATGTTATGGAATATGTCTAATACTTTTTGTAACTTTGTATGGTTTTGCTGCGTTATTTCTGCATTATTTCGTATGTTTTAATTCGTGTATATGGGATTAATGATATTGTTATTTGTGAAAGTTCTTTAAAACATGAGAAATGCTAAGGAGACTCAAAAGTGAAACTCTCCATGTACTCTGACACTTCACAATTTAACATAAATTCGCGTATCAATATTACAAAATATTTTAAAATATGAGGCGGCAGAAAGTTTATGGAGTCTTACTTTTTAGAGTCCTCTTTGCATGTCTCAACACGAGCTCTAAAAGCATTGGTTTACTCCTTATGATCTGTACAAGTTATAAAAACATGCTGGATTTCCAACAATGAATGAAACATGGCAGAAAATATGTTCCTTAAATGGTGGGGGATTTCGTTGTTTTGAACTGTAATTGCTTATCTCACCATGTAGAAATTTGACTTGCACTTGCAGGTTGTCAACTTCTGATGTTATTTTAAGTCACGATTTAATTTTTGAATTGAATCTGAGGAAAATCCCAGCCCACCTTTTGGCACATGTTAATTATTTTGATTCTCGATTTCTCGTGTTTACCAACTCATATTCCAGATTCCTGACTACCTAGTGTTTAATCATAGCATGTTACTTGAAACAGGACCAAACCTGAGCCTATATTATTCCATGTTTTCAAACACGGGAAATAAAAAAAATCATGTAACTCCTACTCTACAATCCGTAATGCAACATACAAAATATCAAGAATTAGATTATTAAGGGAGAGTAGTTGATCATATTCCAATTTCCTATGCTCCTTTATTTCTGACTTCTCTGATTCATTTCTTCTTCAATTTCGACAAAGTTCTTGCTGTGCTTAGCGAATCACGTTTTTGGTAATGCTTAATTGTATTCTTTTTATTTGGGGAGGCAGTTGAGTTGAGGCCAGGCATGAGTCACACTGTCACAACACATCACATGATTAGCATTAAACTAATGTTTACCAAACACTTAGGCAATCAGAAGCAGGTGGATCAAGCATTAAACATATCATTAACTTAACATAAACTTAGTTAAAGTTTCTTAATAATCCATCCATTGGATGACAAAATTATAGAATAGTTCCAAATAGAAGAAACCATGAGAAAATCTTATCCAGAGTCTGATATAATTCTGCAGAGCGTTGGAGTTGTACCTGCCCTACAAATACAACTAGAAGCCAGTGGTTTTTGAAGATAGAACAAGATTCGAGGATTACAAATAAGTGGGGAATGGGTTGCCCTACACTTTTGGGGGATGTCCTACTCCTACTGAGCGGAAATGGTTGCCTTTGCCTCAGTGGAACTTCGGCACCATTCCACATTCCAACTCCAACTCCATTCCATCTAGTACTGAGAGGACCACTCACATCCACATGACCCATAAAAGTAGGGCTACCATATGACGACATGAGTGTGTGTGCATGGCATTACGATTGACTGACGTCACGCATGCAAATATATGTGTGAGTTTTTGGAAGATTTAGGGGGTGAGTTTTGATATGCGATGATCTTTGGAGATTTGTCCATTGTTGTCTAGTTCTTACTCTTGGTCGTTGTAGTTCTCGTTCTTGATTTCGATTGTGGTCTTGTTAAGAGCACGAGAAGGATATTGCCGCTCACAATTTACAGTTTTGATTTATAATTATTTGACAAACATAATATATTACATATGACCCTTCTCATGAATAACAGACATTTTCTTTTCCGCTTGATTGAGCTTACCTAACTTCTTTGGGCTCGATCTTCTATTAATTCTTTCAATTTTGGACTTGCACTGAGTGCGTTTGGATCGAATATAAAGTCATTGCCTTACTGGGTGTGTGCTAATTGATTATTGTCTGGCGCACAGAGAGAGAGAGAGAGAGTGGTAGTGCACCTATGTTTATATATTCTATTTCTCTTCTCTTTAGACCAAAGTTATAGGTGGGCTTCATTTTTTAATCTCTCAACGGATCATTTGGCACTTTGAAGTCACACTGATTTCTTAAATTCATCATTGTTATTGAAGAAATTAAAAAGCCACACTCTCAGGAGCTCGTCTGGTCTTTAGCAAACCGTAAGGTAGTAAATTAAGTTCATGAAAAAACAAATCTTCATAATTCCTATATGTTAAGCAAACCTCCGCAAAGGAGTAGGATTATCTCCCCTTATTTTTTCCCTCCCCTTCTATTTGAACGGACACGGTTAAACCACGTCAACATCTCCTAGTCCGCAAACCTAATATCTTACTTTTTCATAACCATAATATATCCATTCAGACCCCATTCCATAATTTTCATTCTATGTTCACCTGAGTGAAGATTAGGTCTCCAAACTATTTTTTTCACAAAAATCAGTTATTGAATAATAAAAATCTACCAATTTTACACTAAGGGGAGGGAAAGTTCGGCAAAACCACACAATAGGAAGCCTAATTTGGTATCGAATTCGCCATCCACAAGATTCGAACATAAGACTTTTCACTTTCAAGTGAAGAGGAATACCACAGACCATAGTACTAAGTGGCAAATTCAAAGCTACTATATTCAATTTTCTGTTAATTTAAGTCACGTTACTTGCATGTGATACACATTGGAATGTAGATTGGTAATTTTACATAAAAAAAAAAAGTGTATAGAGTTAACTTTGGAGGGTAAATTAAACGTTAAATTTGCAACCTATATGAAATGTTAAGGGCTTATAGGTGAGGAAATAACGGTATTACACTTTAAAATGTGTGAAGTGACTTAAGTCGACGAAAAATTGGATAAAATCGCTTTGAATATAATAATATGATGAAGTTAGCAATTTTTATAGGAATCTAATTTTCACTGAGGTAATAGTTCAGTCACTAAATTGACACTTCACACTATATAACTATCAAAATATACTTGTTGGAACGCACAAAAAGAAAAAGATAGCTACCGTATCTCTATATATTGCATTAAACTATCAAATTTAGGTTTTAGTTGGTATTTTTGGCAATTTGATGCGAGTTTTCTCCGACCCTCGTTCTCGTTGTGCTTGTAAACATGCCGTATAGAGATCAGTTGTCGAATTGCTTTCTTTATGAGCAGAAAAAGGTTGCTTCGTTTCTGAGATCACTGTACTAGTGGAATCAGATCATGAAGAAAGAGAGAGAAATACAGGGTCCATACATGCCATGAGTAAGAAATTTTTTATAGTAAGGCAGCATGATCACGCTATTACTCATTACTAACTCACAAATAAATAAATCATTCACTGTATTTTAATTAAACAAGTTTATATTCTTCACATTTTAGGGTAGGTGACAAATTTTGGATGTCACAACATTTGTGGCCTATAGTGTGGGGCAAAATGTATAAGGTGATGAATGAAATGTTCCTCTCGTATATACTATACTCGTGGCCACCATTTTTTCACATTCTTCTAACCCAATTTACCGGTTTAAGAACAGTATGTAACGTTTCAATTTTTATGAGAGCTTCTAACTAACCACGTAATCAAACTTTTCATACTGTAGTCTCATATATGATGCCATCATGATGTCAGTTTTTTCACATTTGCTTTGGTCAATCTGTTAATTAGTGGCTGAACAAAAGCTTGGCCTTGGATCCATAAACCGTCGTTTGAAATGGGCATAAGCTTTTGTTTTCAGTCAAGCCTCGAGACGGCATCGTTTAAAGTAACGTCTTTTTCAGTATAGCTTGAATTTGCAGAAAAAGAGAAGAGCAACTCTCAGAGACACTCTCCTTAAAAATAATATGATTATATATGTGGGCGCAGAGCAGGTACTGAAGTAGTTGGGTAGTATAGGTCTTACTTGAAATGACTGCCACTTTGACTTCAAATCCCATTTCCATGACTTGTTTCCTCTGCTGAAAATGCTGTCCATGTGAGAGCACATGATGATCGGGCCAAGACTTTGGATTCGAGATCCAAATTTCTATTCGTGAAGCTGCTCTCCGCAGTCCCTACTTAACAATGGATCAAATATGAAAAGTTTATAGACAAAAATAATCGTCAAGAATTAATTAATCTTCTCTGGAACTATCTAAAATTGTCAGCCACAGTGTGAAAATTAGAAATGTGTTTCTGTACTTGGTCGGCAGTTTAATTTTATAGGATTATATATCACTTGACTGCAGGAGAAAGGTCAATTAAAAATGATATCACTTTCACTCGAATGTCTGTCTGATCCATGGGCATGACATGTGGATCATGATTGACGGTAGGTTCTAAAGAACTAGGGTTTTTCTGTCTTTATATTGTTTTTGCTTAAAAAGTATAAAGTAATGCATGCTAATCTGGGGTTTGAACAGAACATGGAATATGCCCCAAACCCTACTGTATATTCATAACGTCGTATTCAATATACGATTCTTCTGTAATATTAGACAATGTGAACGCAGGTATATTAAGGGGTTGTTCTCCCTTTTTCTCATTTTCCTACTAGCTATTTATAACATAGAGAGATAAATGCAAGAATATTGTGGTTTATCTTTTCATCACGAGGAAGATATATAGACACAAAAGATCAAAACTCTACTCATAGAAAGAAAGACCCTCAGCGATTCGAGATATTGATTCGTGACGTAGGACAGATATCATATACCATTATTTTTAGGGGAGAGAAATGCAGAAGCAAAGGATGTATGTCTGTAATCATAATGCAGGAACGGGAAGCAAATGAATATTTGTATATGTATTTCTCTACATCTCTCAAATCAAACACCGACGGAGACTTTGATCAAATAGGTAAATAATTTTGACGGAATAAAAAAGAAAAATAACAATTTCAGGTGGAATCTGGCCATAAATAATTAGAAACCAGATGGGGTTATGTATGAAAAGTCATATGGGGCAGAAGAAGTAGATACAGTACAATTCACATGGATTAAAGTTGGCCCAGTTCTATTTCCGGATGGACTGAAATCAGATTTGGAAACCCTATTGTGTTCTGTAGGCACCAAAACAAGTGATCACCACATGCATCTACTGGCTATTGATGAACTTCGTTGCAGTATGCTGCAAGAC